GGAGAACATAGTCCACTCAGACTCAATGTCTCCAGCCTCCCTCGGGACCTGTTCAAAGCTCTCCCGGAGGTGGGAGTTGAAGGCCCCCCTCACCGGGGATTCCGCCAGACGTTCCCAACAGACCCTCACGATACGTTTGGGTCTGCCAGGTCTATCCAGCTTTGCCCCCCGTAAGCAGAGCCAACTCACCACCAGGTGGTGATCAGTTGAAAGCTCCGCCCCTCTCTTCACCCTAGTGTCCAAAACATACGGCCGGATGTCAGATGACACAACTACAAAGTCGATCATTGACCTCCGGCACTAGGGTGTCGTGGTGCCAAGTGCACTGATGGACAACTTTATGCTTGAACATGGTGTTTGTTATGGACAAACTGTGACTAGCACAGAAGTCCAATAACAAAACACCACTCGGATTTAGATCGGGGAGGCCCAACCCCGGGCCTGGCTCCAGGGTGGGGCCCCGGTGACGTCAATCCGGGCGACGTGAACCTCTTTGATTTTGTTGTTTTCTTCATCAAGGGGGGGTTTTGAACCGCTATTTGTCTGATCTGTCGCCTAGGACCTGTTTGCCTTGAGAGACCCTACCAGGGGCATTTAGCCCCCGACAACAAAGCTCCTAGGTTCATTCGGATACTCGAACCCCTCCACCACGTTAAGGTTGCGGTTCAAGGAGGGGATTTGACAAGCTATTTGAGTTAATCAGTAGTTAATCAGTAATTACCCAAGATTTTTGTATATTTTCTAATAGTAAATAACTAAAGAGCTGTGTTAGTTTGTTGCAAAGTTGGAGAGCTGAAGCAGGGACTCTTTACTAAAATACTATATGACACTGTGTTTTATAACAAATTTGGCCTAGTCAACATTATTTATATATTAGATGTGCTAAAGGTTTGTTTTTAAATCTCCTAGGTGCGAATCGACTCTCAGACAACTTGGAAGCAATGACCGGAAAGAAAGCCAACATCTTTTTTCGACTGTGTTGGCTCATCATAGCACCGGGACTGATCACTGTAAAGTTGCAGCCGTTTTTTTAAGTTGACATTATTCTTGGCAAAATCAATACTATTCTTAATGACGCCATTATCATTTCTTCAGGTCATCCTCATATTTTCTGTCATACAATTCAAACCAGCCCGTTATGAGGAGTACATCTTTCCTCCGTGGGCTCAAGGCGTTGGTTGGGTCATTGCTATGGCCTCTATCATCTGGATTCCTTTGGGCGCCGTTCACACACTGTGGGTGCTGCCTGGCTCATTAGTACAGGTGAAGCACATGCTCCTCCATCAGAGAATCTCACTTCATCAGAGAGTATTACTTACTCACTTTAATACTATAGTACAGATGGTGACTAATTATAACAATGTATTCGTTATTGTATGAGTCCTTGTCGTAATATCAAAACAGTAAAAAAAAAAATCCCGCTTTGTCAGAGAGCTGGAATTTTGTAAGACTTCTAAACAAAGTACTTAAGTTAAGTTAAGTTTACATTATCTTAGTTGTATTAAAAAATAATAAAATATGACCAGACTGACCCATGCAAACAAATCACATGATCTGTCAAATTAGTTCTAAAACCTTTTCGTCTGACTCGTATTTAACCTTTACTTAAATACGAGTCTTGTTGAGAAACGAGGTCTCATTCTCAAGAGAGAACTGTTATGGACAGACATCCCATAAACAAACAATGATTAGTTGCAGGAAAACATGAAAAATCGGGGGTTCAAATAACAGCAGAACAGATTAAAGTACCGTATTTTCCAGACTGTAAGTCACTGCAAACTAGCCAAAAAAAGAAGAAGAAAGAAGAAGAAAATCGCATCTATAAGTCGCTCCGGAGTATAAGTTGCACGGCTGTCAGTGTGAAAATTGTCAGAGAGCTGGAATTTTGTAAGACTTTTGTAAGACTTCTGTAGCAGCAGATACCAGTACAGAAGCCTAGAGTGCTCTCTAGCGGCTGTCAGTGTGAAAATAACGAAGATGTAAATTTTCGGTGGTATAGGAGTAGCAGATACTGGTACACAAGCCTAGAGTGCCCTCTAGCGGTTGTCAATTTAAAAATAACAAACATTTAATATATAAGTCGCACGTGAGTATAAGTGAGTATAATGAACTTGTAGTCTGGAAAATACAACACTTAGAACAGGAACAATTGTCCAGCATTTGTTCAAGTATCACTGAATTTTAAAATGCCAAATAGAATCAATAACAATAACTCTTCCTGTCCGGTTGTGTGACTCTATGGGCCTTCTGGAAACAAGGCAGAATTAGGCTTCTTGTGGCTCCAGTTGTTGGGTCGGTACCAGACAAAGTACTTTACTCTCAATGTTAGCAAAACACACAAAAGCTAAAATGCTGTTTATGCACAAAATCTCCAAAGTTTAAATGTCAAGAGATACACTGATGTTATTGATCTTTTCGCCCATCAGAAACTAAAGCTATCACTGACGCCAACCTGCCTGGAGGAGACGTCAAAGATTCCGTACTATGAGAGGGGAGGAGTAGATAAACATCCAGCTGTTGCTGTCGTCAGTTCAAACTTTCCAGCATCAGAGAAATCTCCAATTCAGACCAACCTGTGATACCTTGTTTACAACTGTAATGCTAGACTTTGCCATATTCGTGGCACCAGTTTGTGTATGTACATGTATTTAACATAACATTTTTGCAGAAATATAATGCAAGGTTAAGAAAATGTAGACCTTACACATATTTGGATGATTATGGAGGGATTCTGTAGGTGTTTGTAAACAAATATCATGCAGCTCCTCTGTATCTCCTGCAGGGGCTGCTATAAAAGCAGTGTGAATTCCCAGGTTCTTTAGTAATATTGTGATTTGGTCTGCAGTTTTCTAGAATAACAATAATAAATTAATCATAACAAGACATGTTGAGTTTCACTGTCCTGGCCTTGGTGACAGTGATATTTGTATCTGTACAACTCGAGGGACTCGTTTTGTTGTCATTACATAAACCAGGCAGTATTTTAAAATGTGTTATAGTTAAACTCTTAGCTTATAGACTGTAGACATGGTTTCATTCTAAAAATCCTATATTGCATGTTTGGCACTTATCAGGTCTCTTTCAATTGTAAAATTCAATTTCATGCACGTTTTGTGACCTGTGAAAATTCTGAAGATTCTTTCTTAGTAGCAATTGCCTTTAAATTATTATATTAACTGATTTCAAATTAAAATCAAATAACAAGTGAAATGTAAAAAGTCATAACAGAATAAAATACTAAATAATTTATTATATACTTGCAGACTAAGAACATTTACACACACACAAAAAAACCTTGGGATGAATGAGGTAAACAAACTGTGGTAATTTTTCTTTTTTTTATCAAAGTTAAAAAAAAAATAAACATACTAATTAGATATATTCTAATCATATATCTTTCAGATCTAGGCCAAAAGCAGTTGGGTTTTTTCTTTTCAAATCCGTTTTGGGCAAAAAGAAAAAAACAAAATTGGGTTACATGAAACTCAAACTGCATGTTTTCAGTTCAGTTAACTCGTTGCTATTATTTAACTTCTGGTGACCTTTTTGATGGTGATGTCTCGCGCCTCCTACGTGAGCTTGTTTGCTTTCCAAATGGCACCATCTGTAGGCCACTTTTATAGGTGCAGATGATCAAAAAAAAAGTCTGCACCTAGCACGTGCTGGGGTCTCTTTGATGATCGTGTCATTCCACATCATGTGTAATAAAAGCATGTCAAAAAGTCCACAGCACTTGTCTTTTTACTACAATGGGGAGACAACAGACAGCAGTTGTGATTGACAAGAGACAACAGCACACCTAACTTTTGGGCAATAGTTCTTATTTATTTATTCAGTGAGAAATTATAGCTAAACGGTACACATTTTTAGGGTATACATGTATGTTACATGAGTTAGTCCCCCTCCCCATGTTGTCAGTGTATTCATTTTAAAATGAATGAACTAAAAGTGCACAAAAACCCATATTAGGCCAATAGGAGACTATTGACAACTCATGTCCTAGACCAACAGTGGGGTCTGTCTTTGAAACTGATCAGAATCTGACTTTTAATGACATAAAAGTGTTCACACCATCATATTGTGTTTACAGGTGGCAGCAGATATATGCTGTCCTAGGTAAAATATATTATGTGACATATTATTAGTGAGTATGAGACCACATCTAAAGTTAAAATATAAAAGAATTTTTTTTTTAATGTTCAATTCCAAAAAGATATGCCAGATGGACTACAAAAAAACAAACAAAAAAAAACATAAGCAATCAACTGAATTCTCTTCCCTCTGAAGTGATGGTGGTGCAGGTGACCAGAGAGCATCAGCAACACTCACTGGTGTCAATTGTTCCTACAGTAGTCTGGGCTCAGCCATTCACAATAAACAGGTCAATAGTATATTAATATTGGTTTACAAAGTCTATGCCCTTCATTTCTTCACTTTAAGGCTCCATCCCTGTTTAACTACATCCACGCATATCAGGAAACAGCAGTTTGGGTTTGGGTGTTTCTCCCCCCCCTTCCTCCCCAAGCCAAGTAGAGGTCACTAAGCTGTCCTCTGGCTTCTTCTCCTGCAGCTTAATGTCAACTGCTATGACACCTGCTCCACCGGTCTCATCTGCACGTCTCCAATCTAGTGATGAGGAAAGGGGAAAAGAGTTCACAGCAGTCTGTATTACACTCTGCATAGTAAATGAAATAGTTTGAAGAACAGGTCACACAATACCAACTGCTATGACACCTGCTCCACCGGTCTCATCTGCACGTCTCCAATCTAGTGATGAGGAAAGGGGAAAAGAGTTCACAGCAGTCTGTATTACACTCTGCATAGTAAATGAAATAGTTTGCTTTTAAATATGGAGTAAAAACACTGGAAGAACAGGTCACACAATATACAGATACAGCCACGTAGAATCTACCCACGAATCGCAACCAAAGTTTTGCTTGAGATTTCCCGAAAAATATATATAATGGAATAATATATGAGTAATAATGGAGTAATCCATGGGTGTTAAACTCGTTTAACTACTTCATAACCTATTCATAAATGTTCTTGCAATTGATTATTATGTGTTCAAGTTACAAATATTGTACATTGCTGTGTAATAAAAAAAAAAAAAACTTTTTCATTGTATCAGGTTAAGAAATTCTGCAGCATGGACTTTAAAATACAGGCAAAAGCTTCTAACGTGGCTCCCTTGGGCCAAACAAAATTATTTGGTGGGCCACATTTGGGCCACGGGCCATCAGTTTGACACGTGTTATAATCTATGACGATCTGAGGAGTGGCACTAGGCAGACTGTGTGTCTACACCGGGAGGCGCCCTCGTCATGTTTTGCTCTCTTTTGTCAGTCTGAGCCACTGAACATACACTACCGGTCAAAAGTTTTAGAACACCCCAATTTTTCCAGTCATTTATTGCAATTCAAGTTGTGTAAGCCCAATGAATAGCTTGAAATGGTACATAGGTAAGTACTGAACAGCCAGAGGTTAAAAAAAAAAGGTTTGGTTACCCAAAACCGAAAAATAATGTACATTTCAGAATTATACAAGAAGGCCATTTTCAGGGAACACAACGTGGGTTAACAATTTAAAGCTGAATCAGCCTTGAAAGCTGGTGCTACTAATTCCTACAGGTGTCCCAACTTTTCTGGATTACTTACAACCCCCTCTGTCTGCATAAAAGCAGTGTTGGAACACACTGTGGTACCAGACCCTCATGAGCATCAGGTGAACAGTATTGTACTACAGAAAGTAGTGTGTTGCTACAAAAATGGCAATAAAATAAGGCAATTAACAATGGAAGAGAGACAGACCATCATCACACTTAAAAATGTAGGTTTTTCCTACAGGGAAACTGCAAAGACAGTCAAGGTATCAGTGAGTACAGTTTCCTTCACCATCAAAAGGAAGTCAGAAACTGGGGCAAACTTTGACAGGAAGAGGTCTGGCAGACCCAAAGCCACAACTGAATCAGAGGACACGTTTCTGAGAGTCAACAGTTTGCGTGATAGGCGGCTCACAGGACAACAGCTTCAAGCACAGCTTAATAGTGGTCGTAGTAAGCAAGTCTCTGTTTCAACTGTGAAGAGAAGACTTCGAGCTGC